AGCATGCTTGTTTGGAAAGAAGCCCATGTAGGTCGTGCTGGAAGCACAGCACTGGGGCAGTTAGTAACAGTTACTTTTCTGTTACAGTGATGAAATACCATGTCCAAAGGGAGCTTAAAGAAGGAAGAATTTATTTAGACTGACAATTCCAGAGGGGAAGATCATAATGGTGGGTGAGTCATGGCAGTAAGCCATTAGGAATGTAAACTGAGAGATCACATCACATCTTCAATCACAAACATAAAACAAAGTGAGTGATCTGGAAGTGGGGCAGGACTGTAAACTCTCAAAGCCCACCCTGGTGACAAACTTCCTCCAGCAAGGCCATACCTCCTAAACGTTCCCAAATAGCAGCGAACCAACTAGGAATCAAGTGTTCAAATACTTGAGTCTATGGGGGACACATTTTTTTTTTAATTCAAAATCTTTAATAGATTTCTAGTCATTAGGTTTATATACTGTTTCAAACAGAAGATAATAACATTAAAAACAAATATCCCTTTCTAGTTGCCAAAATTCCACTTTTGCTCTGGCTTAAACATGCAAAACAAAAGATTTGAAGGTAGAATCTGCATATGAGGAAGAACATACGGTGTTTGTCTTTCTGGTCTTGAGTTACCTCATTGAGTATAATTTTTTTCCAGTTCCATCCATCTACCTGCAAATTTCATGATTTCGTTTAAAGTTGAATAATATTCTATTGTCTCTATTTACCTCATTTTTCTCATCTACTCATCTGTTGGTTGACGTCTAGGCTGATTTAATTTCCTAGCTTATATAGGCCCAGGAGTAGGATAGTTAGGTCATACAGCAGTTCTATTTCTAGTTTTTTTAAATTATTTATTTAATAACCACATGATTAGAAGAAGCATTTCATTACAGCATTAGCATATTCAATAACAATTTCCAGAGCAAAGATATATCTCTTTCAAAAGTGGCTGTAAACTTTTAGGTTCACAGTTGAATTAGTACAGTTATATAACACTAAACTCAGTATAAACCCTATAAGACATAAAATTGAATGAGGTTTTAACCTTTAAAAAAGATCCCCATTTCATTTTAAAATATAGTGTTTCATATAGGAAAACTCGTTTTTAATGTTACTAACATTTAGATGTTTGTACATGCATCTCTAATCTCTATGTATCTGATTATTACTAGTCACCATTGGTTACTTTCTGAGATCCACCTGAGCATGGATATAAAATCATTGGGTAGATTTCAATGGTAATGTGTTTCACCTCTACTAATTAACATGGAGCAAATTTTTATGCTTCATCCTCAAATATAACTAATTTTTTAATTTGTTGATTTTTTGTGTGTGTTTCATACAGAACATCCCAAACAATCTTATTCATTTATATACCCACATCCCAAATGGCATCCTCCCATGGTCTCCCTCCCACCACTGGAGCCCATGAACTCTGTAATCCTTGTTACTGTCCACTATGATATCAGTGCCCCCAGCCGTTCTCCAGTGCTTGTCCATCTGCTGAATCTAGTCAGCCTATCTAGAGTTCCTTGTGTTACGAAGATCAGCTCTTCCTCATCTAGCAGCAATCAGTTGCCAATATTCCTTTAGATAAGATTG